TGCTTTGTAAGTGGGTTATAATGAACTTACACCTGACCTGACTAATCTGTACAGCACTTCAGGTTGTCATTGCGTAGGAAATATGCTATTTAAATAAATTTGCCTGCCTATTTCACTGGTGTACATTAGTAACATCAGACAAAACTCAACACATATGACGAAATGTTAGACATAATATTAAATCATATATATAATACTATAAATACAAACTAAAATAGGAGGACTCAGACTTTAAGAGCTCATTAAAAGTTCAATGGTACAGCTACACCAAGCTGCCATGCCTGGCTGGCACTTACTCTGTTGTATTCTACTGTAACATAACATTGAAGAGGAAGAACTGGGTAAAACATATCGTCAGTACCTGTCAATAGTAGCCCACAGCTCCAGCTCCATTACCAGGGCTACCAGCCACGTTTCAGGCTGAAGTTACAGAAGGGTTGTTACGTTACCAGCTGAGGTTATGAAAGGCTGACCCGGCTAAAGCTAACTATTAGCATCTGCGTTAAACCTTCACACAACTCCAGCAAAACATTTCTCACAAATAGCTACATAATACAGAACAAACAGACACGAAGGTAGCACACGTTCACAGCCAAACGTACTCACCTGAAGGGGTCTACAGCCAGTTGATACTCAGCAGGACTCTGGGCTGGAACAGACAACTCAATGCTGCAGCTGCATGTGGCGTCTACAACTTCCGCTGGCAAGTCGACTTCATTTTCTTCTTCTCTGGATTTTAATGGCAGTTGTCATCCAAACAGTTGCACTACCGCCATCTACTGGATTGAAACAAAAATCTAAAAAAGGAGGACGAATACCTTGGTACTCTTGGAGGAAAAAAGCCTAGGTTTGTCATTCTTGTCCTGCATGCTGCTTAGCGCGTGCAAATTGTTTATTTTTGGCCACATTTTAAATGAGACATAGAATAAAGTGATTTTGATGAAATATCACTATTTTACGCTTAGTTTTGGTTGTTTTTTTCTGACGGAAGCGTTCGTCACACATGATGTGTCCAAAGACCGTTGGAAATTTAAAACTCCCATCAATAATTTGTTTTTACAGTTTCTGGCTGTGATAAATGGAGTAGTTTTGGCATGCAAGGGATATTTTCTTTACAAATTAGCTGTAAAATAAATAAAAAATACAAACATTTAAATCTGTATACCCCACCCCTAAGCCAAAATAGAATACACAGTCCCTCCCCAGTGCTTGGAAAAAAATATTTGGCATCAAACCACCGGCACCCTCACAGAGTATTGAAATATTGAAATGCAACCATTGATTCCAATTGATTTAACGTAACTTTACCCTTAAATTTCAATGGATAATGGTGTGTAATATGTGCTCCATGTCTGCTGGAAGTTTAAATAAACAAATGTCAACATAAAAGGTGATGTCAGTGATATGTTCACAGCCAGTTCCCATTTCCCCAAAGAGGCCAAACAAATCTGTTAACGCTACCATAACAGCTACCATAATACACTTTTTCGCTTCATTTGCTAAATACACACATAAATAGAATAGTGTATTTATGTAATATGTATTTTTTTCCACCCAAAAAAGCCAGAGTTAAATGACATTCACAAAATCAAGCAAAGACCATTGGATTACTAGGCCTCAGGCAATGTGATCAGAAGAAAAACACCACTCACCAGGAATGTTAAAAAGAAAAAAAAATCTTTATTTAAAAAAAGCATATACCTTTTTGTGACGCAAAGTAAATCAGTAAGGTAACATGAGAATGCTTCCTTGAACAGAGCTTCTCTTACTTCAGCAGAGTATTATTTTAACCTGACAAAGAGACACAACACGTTCATTTTTACTTGATATCTGATACATCATCAACCCAGACACTACATGTTACTACTGTATAAACTTTCCAGTCTACAGCAGAATTGATGGTATTTCTATTCTTCACAAAAACTTTGGGGTTTGGCCCATGCTACCATGTCGACTGATAGCAGGTATGAAAGGTCAGAGAGGCATTCAGAAAAGAAAACAAAGGAAATGAATAACAGCTGCTAGTTTCTCGGGCCCAGTGGTCCATGCAGACCTGCTGTAGAGTTTTGATGGTAGATTTGGGACAAACAGTATGTGATGGCATAAAGTCGCATTGTTTGAGAATCCATCTGGTTCAGGACTGAGGGTGGGGCTTTGTGTAGTCCAGGCAGACTGCTGTGGTGGGGTTCAGTCTAAAAACTATTGCGTCCCTCTGCTGGTCGATGCTGCTGAGCCAGCTTACCATAGCCGCCTCTGGCTGGGTCATAGTCCTGTCTGTACTCATCTCTCACCTACACGAGAAACAGAAACGCAGCCAGATTAAGATCTGTAACATCAGAAAAATTAGAGAGCCAGTGCCTTCCACTTACATTTTTACTTTCAAAACCCTGCCAGCTGCCACAGTAGAATAATTACACATTCATACTTATAACAAACAACTGTAAGGATCTTCACCTGTCCTCCAGATTTGCCACGTCCGTACTGCCGTCCCTCCTTGAAGCCGGCGTCCCAGTCTGTCCTGATGATACGGTCATCCAGCCGTGTGCCATTAATGAAGCGCATCGCATTTTCTGCGCCTGCACGTGTGTAGTACCTATTACATCAGGGGTTAAGGTCTGTCGCAGGCTCCTAAACTTGCACAACATGCACACTTTAAGCAATAGCAATAAAACATGAGCTTATAACAATGTATAGTACTATGGTTAGTGGCCAGGAAGGCAGATTGTTGACTTGGTATTGAAGTGTGTTTTGTGTTTGGTCTCCTAATTTTAAGGATACTCTACAAAGCAGAATCCACAGGCTGTCTTCTTGACTTTATCCAGTCCGATGATGATGCGCTTCACATCTCCACTTTTAGAAAACAGCTCGTGTACCTGCTCATCAGTTACAAAGACAAAAGTGAGAATTAAGATTATAAGACATATCTGCTGAGCCTTAGAAGACTATCCTGGAGATACTTTGACCTCTGACACATATAAAATAGATTTAAAACTTATCATTTCAACATAGACCATTAGAAGCCCTGTCTCTGATTTTGAAGACAGACTGCAAAGGTAAATCATGCTCAAATTCACATAACAACTCACTAATAAGAGTCAAAAGACTTTGGGGAGCTGACAAAAAAGTCACAGGCCATTAAAAGAAGGAAAAATCATTTGTCATAAAAGAACATAATGAGAATTGCAATAATTGACAGACATCTGTGCAGGACTTTAACTAATGGTGAATCAGGAATCACGGTACTGTATCCTACCTGGTCCTCGGTGGTGTAGAAGGAGAGATTCCCAACATATAAAGTGTGGCTCTGCTTCAGCAGCTTCTCCTGTTCATAGCGATTACCCTGAAAAACACAAGTAACGTTGAAAATATGAGTAAGCACCACTTCTAGAAAACTGAAGCGATTTTATGATAATAAACCCTAACCTATTTTGGCAACTCCCTATGTCGTACAAAAAATAAACTCAGCAAATTCTGTATATGCCTAGATGTCTTCACACATGCACACACACTGATACAAAGCAAAAAAATCATTTGATATTTGAGGCCTTCAGCAGAAGATGTTTTGTTTATCAGCAAGTTCAGCGTTGGCTTCTGATCTGTCTATCTGTAGTTATCTATCTAATAAAACTTTATCTAAAGCCTCTGTGCGGATCGCCCTTTTAGAGATCATTTAGTGGTCTTGCAGTGGGATCTTTAAAAACGCCGACCAGCGCCAGGGAACTCCAGTAAGCTGCCTTGTTTAAACGCGAACTGGACGTAACGTTAAGCTAACGATACTACACACCACGTTGAGGCTAATAGTCGAAACGCTTGAAGCTCATAACTGTAGCACAGTGCCGGACAATAAGCAAGGCAAAGAAAGCACCTCTGAGATGTCTTAAATCTAACCTTACAAAGAAGTAAAAGAACCCCTAACATCACAAAGCATGGGCTGCCCGCTCTGTTGTTTGCTAACGGTTAGCTAACAAGATAAACCTTGCCGTTGACGTCTGCGTTCCTTATATATTTCCCCACTCACCTTAAAATGCTGGTCTCTGTATTGACTTATATCAACGTAAGAGTCGCTAATCAACGCATTTAACTTCACAGACATTGTGAAAAATTCGCAGAAAGTCGCTCCGCAGATATTCAAGTATTACGATAGGTTCCGGTTTATGTATCGGTCCTCTGAAGAGCTCCGGATGGAACATGTTGATATGAGATGTCTACATTACCTGCGTGGCGCCGCCTGTTGGTGTGGTTTTCATTTCCTAATTCTGTTTAATGTACATTATATTTAAAATAAAAGGGGTGTTTTTTTAGATCTCACTCCACAAACGCATGCTGCGCTTTTACTTAACAAACTAACAACACTTAACCGGAACTCAGATTTCGGGATCAACAATAACTTGTGTCGAATAAATCCAAAATGTCCAAGTCTCTCCCAAACTGTCCAAAGTCACATGACAGTTAAAGCTGACAGCACTGTTAGATGTGGTGCAGCACCATTGGCTGTTGCCCTTTCATTTAATGCCATTGGCTACTGAAAGACTGGTCCTTTTTTTTTTTGTCTTTCAGATATTTTTAAATATTTTCGGGATAATAGTTTAATAATTTAGGGATATTTAAAATATGCATTTTTTTTTACTTGCTTTTGATTTAACTCCTATTACTGCATTTGTATCTGCTTTATTATTTATGTGCACAGGGCTTGTCCCAAACAGCATGCAAAATTGTAAGCTGCAAAACCGAAATGATAAATGCTAGAGAAAATTTATAGTGTAATTATCAAAACATTTAAGTGCATAAATCAGACTTCACAAACCACCTTGTATAGATTGTTTAAGTCATATACATAGGCTCAGTACACAACATTAATGAGACATACAGATCAAACTTATCTCTTGTTTTTTGTTCCAGAGTCAGGAGGCATTTGTCACAAATAAGATCTGTGAAAGAAGATATGTGAATCCTTAAAAACCTGTGTCTCCTTGTCCAACAAAACCACTTCAGACTGCAAATTTTCCCACAAATCAACATTTTATTTTTTAAATTCAAACATGTAAAGAGAGAAAAAAAAAACAGAAAACATTTATCACAATCCGTCCCCTCCTGAGTTCTCACTAAATCAACAACCTAAATGATTTTGTCAAAAGAATGTAGAGATATGAATGAACCTGCTTATAAATCACAGACAATTAAAAACAAAAATGAGATGACTTTAAGTATGACTTTATCATTAACCCGCTGCCAAATACTGGGTGTAGTTGCTCACTGTTGGTTCTTCAAATGTTTACAGCACTACTTGTATCATATAAAGTTCTGACCAATAAATCAGAGCACAATAAGCAAAGCCAGAGTAAGATAAACAGTGGCTCTGCTGGGGGTTGTCAACTCTACTCCCAGATCTTCCATGTAGTCTTCATCAGAGGTCTCCATGTAATGCTACAGCAGCTCCTGGAACCTGAAAGAAAAATATAACATTTATTAAATAAGAGAACAGCAAGTGTATACAATCTGATTGTTTTTAGATTCATCTTTGGGAAAAAACTGTTGTCCCCCCCAGAGGTCAGAGGTCAGGTTTGAGTAGCAGGTGGAGTTGGTAGGGATTCAGTGTGTTGCTGAAGAACGTTACAGTAGAGCAAATGCTTTATGTCAGGAGGGCTTTGAGAGTGAAGAACACTTCAACCTTTAAAACATGCATGCTGATTTTCTTAGAATACAAAACTCAGGATTAACAGTGAATCAATAGTCCTTTTTTCCCCACTTCCTTTCACCTGCAGCTCTTCAGCTCACTGTGGCTGCTCCTTGTTATATTATTCCCGACAATATTCAAAACTGATCCACTGTCAAAAAATGCCAAAAATGAACAAGTTTTGCTTTGTTGACACATTTTTGGCAAGTTGAATGCTTCAAATATGATGCAGCGACAGTGAACAGGAAATGAGGAGGTAAGTGTCAGTTTGGTAGAATAATATAACTCTGGATTAAATGCACCTGAAGCACTACAGAATATGAAGGCAAATTTAAATCCAGTGCTGCAATGGCGGACCCCGCCACTAACAATACAATCTGCTACACAGAGAGGTATTTACATTGCACTGAATGGCTTTAATTGAAAATTTAGACCACGAATTGTACCAAAAATGTGGTTTGTTTTCATGAAAATCTTACAGTGGAGCTTTAATGTGGGTTTTGATTCATTACCTAATCTTGATGTATGTGCTTAGACTATAATTACAGTTCAAAGGCCTTGATTTTTCATTTGATCTTGAGCTTGCATGGTGCATGCTCCTAACTGAATTTGCATTTAATCAAATGACCACACAGGAAACCTGAGGCCAGGAATAATGGAGGCTTACACGATGCATAGAGAAGGTGATGAACTGGGCATCCAAAGCAGCACAAACTATACATTTATATTAACTTACGTTTTGAAAGTTGCCTTATTTTCCCGCTCCTCTTCATCAAAGCTCGGATTTCCTCTCGATGCTGAGCAGCTCCACTTCAAAGATGAGCGTCGCTCCTCCGGGGATCTTTGGGGGAGCTCCTCTGTCTCCGTAGCCCAGCTCGGCGGGGATGACCAGCTTCCTCTTTTCGCCCTCACACATGCCCAGCAGACCCTGGTCCCAGCCTTTGATCACCTGGCCGGTGCCCAGGGTGAAGGTGAAGGGCCTGTCGCGGGGAATGCTGCTGTCAAACTCAGTGCCATCCTCCAGTTTGCCCGTGTAGTGCATGTTCAGCACATCTCCTTTCCGGGACTTGATGGGGCAGTTGTCCACACGCTTCTTGATGCCGATCTGAAGCTTCTTCTTCTCGGCTCCGCTCACAGCCGCCGGGCTCAGAGACAGCACGGTCACGGCGAACAGCAGAATCACCCGCATGGCTGCAGTCCACTTCTGTTTCCACGTGTTGAAGGGATTAGTTTGGAGAAGCTGAAAGCTCCGTGTGCAAATTTTGTAGGGATGAATAAGGGGAAATGGGCTGGGAAATCTGTTACCGAAAGCGGATGTAGGTATGGTAGACCCGGACGTATTTCTTCAACTGTGTTACCAGCAAAAGTGTCCGGAGACCTGTTTGCCACAAGGCTGAAGATAGCTTCAGATTCGTAGGTTAGGGCTCCTTTACATCACACTTTATGTTTCCTCGCCTCCTCTCTCCTCATGTGACATGGAAATCACCCCCTCTGCTATCATGAAGGATATTCCAATCCCTTAAATGCACCTCGAAGAGACGAGGAGAAGGGAGAGAGGAGCCATCTAGAGGAGGTGTCTAGAGGAGCTTAGAGCAAGGAAACACCAATGAATCCTACAGAGAAGTCTTTTATCAAATGACGTGACTACAGAGCTCCCCAAGGGTCATGACGAGATTTGGGTTTTTTTGCGTACCTTGGTGTATTCTAAGTGTTAGATCGTGAGCAGCTGGACTTGCTTAAGTGTCTTGAAGATGTTTCACCTTTCATCCAAGAGGCTTCTGCAGTTCTGACTGAACTGAAGGTTAACATTTGTTTAGAACTGAAGAAGCCTCTCGGATGTGAGTTGAAACGTCTCCAAGATACTCAAGCAAGTCCAGTTGCCTATGATATAGCACTTAGGGTGACCATGACCTGGATGACTGAGGATCTTCACCAACATGCTGTGATGTACAACGCCTCACCTCCACATGATTCTTTATTCACACAGTTTATTCTCACACTGCTTACCCTGTAGTGTGTATAAAGGGATCTACAGATAATATCATACAACACAATCACATGAGATGCAATATAATACGCCATCAACTTGTGAATGGTGAAGGTAACACTTTAAAATATGGGATAATTTAATAGTAAAGTGTGGTGGCATCACACAAAGCAGCAGTTTGTTTTTTTATTTTACAATACAATTGACATACACACATTCTTACACAGCTATGTGGTGTATTATTGTGCAGATAACAATAATGCAAATGAATGGAATGCCTAACTAATCATAACAAATAACACTGATCTCTACAAAAATGAGAAGATTGAAGGAAATATTAAATGGTTATTAAAATCCACAACAGTAATTATAGCTTTCTACTAATAATCAGCTCAGTGGCATAAGGTAGTTACAATGGGCCCCAGTGCACGCTATTATGATAGGCCCTAGTGCACGCTATCATGCACATATCGTCTCGTCACATGATCAGAGGCTTGACATTGGATTATATCAACATACATATTACCCACCAGTCATGAATTTCATATCTGCACATAACAAAAATACCAAAGAAAATAAGAAATAATTAATTCAATGTACAATTTTTAATAGTTTAATAGTTTAATATAGAATAGTTAATTTATAGTTATAGATTCCTTAATTTATAAAATAGTTGATTTATAGCTGATTTAAAGCTATAGCTTTTGTTATAGATGCTTTTGAGTATTTTACAAAAAAAGAAATATGACAGAGATGGGTTTGCCTTTTTAAAGGGTACATAATAACAAATGGCACTAATTTTAATTTAATGAGAGTTCCCTTCTGAACACAGACATATTTCCAAGGTGGCAATCACTCATAAAGGTCCATTCTACACCCGACACATTGTTGGAGGCCCCAACACCTCATGAGCCCCAGTGCAAACACACTGCCTGCACTGTCCATATTTACATCCCTGAATTGGCTGTGTTTAACAGTTTACATAAGTGAATAAAGGCTTCCTGTAGCTATATCAAAGGCTTTCATAGGCCAATAAGAGATTTTCCTATGAAAGATACTGTGAGGTTTTGAAATTGTTGTTGAATAAGGGGTCCTGTGTTGGTTTGAAAGGTGATACACCTGTATGATAGGTCATAATGTAAATGATGTTGCTAAAGTCTGATTACGTTCAACAAGGATCTCTCATTTGGCTCCATCCTCTTCCTCACCTCCCACTCTAGCATCTCCGTGGGTGGGACTAACGCGAGGACAGGAAGTGAGGACACACTTTAGCATGATGTAATGCACTCTAGGGTTGGTGCGTTCAGGGGACGTTTAAAAGAATCGAATTTGAAACTGACTTCAGCCTCGCTCCTCTCAGATTCTTATGTCATCCATTATAAGCTACCGGTCACCTGGATCATCTGAAGTAAGTCAACATCTTTATGTATAGTTACTAATAATTACAGAACTCTCTACATACATGACATTATGAGCTACCACCGACGATATGTATCTCCAGCTAACTGGCGGTAAATATTTGGTGTCTCTTACAGGGCGGAAATACAAAAGTTGAACGGGACAGCTAAGTTAGCTAGCTAAGCTAACGCGTCAAGGGTCTTTGGAAACCAGTCGACAAAATGCTAGCTCGTATGCTATTTAACCTCCTCAACAACCTCCATGTAGTTGAGAAGCTGGCAGAGTCTCGACCGATTCGCAGGGCGGCCCAGATCACAGCCTACGCCATCACCAAGGCTCAGATAGCCGGCCGGGACGCCTCAGAGCGGGTCCTGAGGTCACAGACGCTGCGGCAGGTCCGGGACGAGGCCGGCAGAGTCCCCGGGGACATGGGAGAGGTGGGCAGCCGCCTCAGGAAGGTCGGCGAGACATTTGTGAATGAAGTGAAGGAGGGATGGAAAGACGGCTCCAGACAGATCAAGAAGTAAAGAGGACAAACTGGCTGTGTAGAGACTGAGAAGCCACTGAAAACTTCTGTGAATGGTTATTGATAGCTGACAGGTTCTCATGTTTCTATTGAACCATCAGTGACTGAAGGAGGTCAAAGGAGAGCTGATGTATAAACAATCTGCCTCAGAAACACTATAGCAGAGTGATGGTTATCTGCAGCCATCACAAAGTGGCTTCATGCTGGACAATGGTCATTTCACAATCAGAAATGGTGGTTGTTAATAATGCGAAGAGGTCCACACCGACCTGCAATTTATGGCCAGATATTTTATGTTAAACTAAATAAATGCACTGTGTTCACATCTCTGCACACACCTGGACGTGTTCTTTTTACCTGTTAGTGGAAATGTAGAACCTGTCTTGGAGATTTAAGTGGAAGTTTGTGATAATGTGGAAATGTTAAGTGCACTTTTCCGGAATAAGTTGACAGTTAAGTTATTTCATAAAAACTGACGATCACACACCTGAATGTGTGAAATTTGTTCTCTGCATTTGACCCATCCCCTGAGGGATCTAACCCCCCAATTCCAACCCCTGATGCTGAGTGCCAAGCAGGGAGGCAATGGGTCCCATTTTTATAGTCTTTGGTATGACCCGGCCGGGGATCGAACCCACGACCTCCCAGTCTCAGGGCGGACACTCTACCACAAGGCCACTGAGCTGGTATCACACTGGTAGTTCAGCAAATAATGCCCTTTAATTTTGGTTGTTAGTGTTTTACCATTTCCCTCCAGGCACAAATCTTGCTGCTTTCACAAATCTGTGCATGAGGTTGTCTTGGTCAATATTTTTATTGGTCAAAAAATCTACATTAGAGACAGATGTGATGATATGTATAGACAATGAATTCACTGTTTTTGCTGAGTGTATAATAAAGATTATAATTTATAACACTGCACTTTGATGGACCATGTCAGTTGATATTACTTACAATTGATATAATCTCAGGACTTAAAGCTTAAAGTGTAAATAGAAAAGAATAACTTTCCAATTTTCCAAAACAGTTTTGTATGTGTAAATGCAACAATTGAGCTGTGGATTATTGTCACGTACTGACCTAGAAACACAGTGTCAGACATGCAGAGTCACAGAGAGTGAACTTTACTGCCGTCAAGTTGTAACTCAAAGTCTATTTGCTTTCACAACTCCAACAACAGAGATATAAGAACGTTGGAGAGAATTTCTGACTCGCTTTAAAGAGCAATGTCAAACACCTGCATACATGAACAGCAGTGGCCTGGTCAGAGCATGTACAACAACTTTCATACCTGGCTCCATCATGTACCCTCATATTTTCCATCTATCTTTTGACCCTGACAAACCATGAGCCAATTACTGTATACTGTACTGTCATGTAGAGATGCAATGATAATCCAATTAGCTGAAAATTATTATGCAACTATTTTGATGATTCTTAAGTCATTAGATGAGTTGAGCTTTTCAAATGTGAGGATTTGCTGCTTCTATTTGCCTTATGGTCTTATACAATATAATATCTTCGAGTTTTGGACCAGTCAACTTGCAGTTTACATCCACATCTGGCCAGACACATATATTACATACGTAGGGAAGATTTCAAAGAAATTTAATAAAATGTTTTAATTGCATTTTTTTTTAGATATTGCATTGACGAGAATGGGACGAACAGATGGACAACCTGAAAAAATAACGTTGCTGCACGGTGTAAAGACATAAAAAAAAAAAAAAATTAACACATTTTACTGCTGACCTCATCATTTGGTTATTTAAATGATGAAACCAAATTCCCAATGTACTTATTCTGATGGAAATAACATGTTTCTAGTAGCTTTGGTTAAAGGCTTTTTACAGAACTGCCACATGATGAGGGTGTTTATGTGACACAGTTTGGAACATCTGCAGAAAATTAACATCAATAACCAGGAGGTGTGGACTCAAGTCACACGACTTTGACCCAAAGCAGACGTGAGTCACAAATTTGTTGACTTTAGACTACTTGATAAATCAAAAGAAACTTGCAACTTCACTTGGACTTTAACACCAATGACTCAGGACTTCACTTGGATTTGAGCCTTTTGTCTTGAAAATACTTGAATACTACTTTTTTTTTTTTTACATTACAGAGTCATCATCACCCATTCACACACATTCACACACTGGGCAAGGTTATAATGTACAAGGTGCCACCTGCTACCCAGTTTAAACACACTTAATTTCTTTTAGCAATTTGGTGTTCAGCATCTTGCCCAAGTATACTTTGTCATGCAGACAAGAGGAGATGGGGATCGACCCGATGACTTGTAAAACCATGATTTGGTCCCACCTTAATAATAATAATGGCACATTCTCATAAAGAATAGCTCAACAGTATGCATTTTATATAGCTTTATTTTATTTGAACAAGCACAGAAAACAGCTCAAGTCAGCAGCTTTATGTAGCAATACTTGTGCAGACTCACTGGCCTGGCAACTAAATATTAGTTACATGGGACATCATTTCACATAGAAATAAATCTCTATCGGAGGAAGAGAAGGCATTAATTTCTGACAGCATGAGTCAGTACATATACACTGATATGGCATCTGAGCTTCATATAAAAATAAATCTCTCAATGTAGGAAAATACACATCCAATCAACATTTTAAAGCAGGAAGCAGCATCAGGCAGCAGGAAGTACAGTAGATATGACCAGAACAGGCAGGTTTGAGTCAGAAAGAGACATTTGTGGAGTGAGTTGTTTGGGTCAGAGCAGTGGTTCTCAACCAGGAGTCTGGAGATCCCAGGGGTCTTTGAGGGAGTCCCAGGGGGTTCCCCAGAAGTGAAGAAGTGAGCCCAGTGTGAGTAAGAGTCCTAAGAGTGACTATTCTGATCATAAGTTTCACTTCATTCACGATTATCTCCTCAACTGTGGTCGAACTGTAGAATTCTGGGCTTAATCATGTCTAACAAGCAAAATATTTTCAGATATAGGTCCCTGAAGTGAAATCTTATCATGTGGGGGGCTGCGACCTAATGTGTATCACCGTACGGTTCCTTAACACAAAATAGTTGAGAACCAGTGAGTTAGAGGCAATGAGAGCAAAGTATTTGATGCAGAATAGTTAACTATAAACAATTAATTTCCTTTAACCTTATTATATTCCCTTGACATCCTTGCATGACAAAAGATACTACACCAAATCTCTTCTAAAATTGAAATGGAGTTAATTTTCTTACTCCAAATCCAACAAAATGCAAGGTAAACACCATCCTTGACTCAAACCATCCAGACAAACAAATATTCATTCACTCCCCAGCACAAACCGGAGGCTGTTTTCTTTATGTTCTCCCCAAATCTGATGGAACCTGACCAATATGTCAGAGTTACCCTCTCCATTTGTGTCCAAATGCGTAGATAAAAAAAGGAGTGAAAAATAGCTGCAGGTGGAACGTAAGCTGACTGTCTGTTACCAGAGCAGTTCCCATCAATAATCGAGAATAAAAAGAGTTAATGCAGATTAACTAAATTATTTATCTTCTTGATTTTTTGGTTTGGAGGAGAACACATGAAGCAGACAGACCTATGGACAAACATTCAGTCACTCATCATCACACTATCCCCAGCACAGCTCTGTGTGGAGGTAACACTAGTGCATATTCACTGATATGGCATTAGCTTATTGTAGAAACACAGCCTAAAGTAAGGGAGGGTTGTGTTGTATAGTAGTGCACAGAGAGCAAGAGGCAGCAGAGAAAGAACAGCAATCTGATTTTTATATTCACATGAAAAATTATTTTTTTTAGAAATGATGAGCTGGGTAGGGGCTTTAAGGTTAGGCTAAGCTAAGCTAATCACCCTCGGGCCCCAGCTCCTGAGGGGCATATCGATTGTCTAATCTTGTCAAAAAAGTTAATAAGCATATTTACCCAAATTAAAAATCCTTATCTAATAGACAAGAGGGCCTGGTCACTGATCTCTTACTCACCCAAAGTAGGTAGTAAAGGTAAAGTGATCTAAGTCTAAAGACTCTGTGGTAAATCAGAAATTAAAAGATTATCTGCAGCTCATGTGAGGTCAAAAATCAGATTATCTGTTCTTTGTAAAACTAACTTTAGAGAGAGAGAGACAGGCATACACAACCCATTAGATCAATGTAACAGGTGGCAGCATACACACTGATATGGCAGCTCACCCTCAGTAAACAAAGTGGCAGCAACACCTTCTCTCACTATGTCTGATTCTCACGGGCTAAAGGTCCTTTGGCAACTTAACTCTCTTATCTGCCATAAAAAAAGGAGACAATGTGCTTCAATTCAACACTGGCACTATTTAAATCCAAAGGCAGCTCCAACATGCCGTTCTCTCATGTATTAAAATAACACACAATCAGGTAAAAAATGATGCAATTTTAGGAGAAAAACACAGATTCAGGTATAAAAAGGTGTCTGGACAGCAGGGCTAAACTGGACTTGAGTAAGGCTAAGATGGGTGAAGGTTTCAAATCTAAAGATTTCTGTGTGAGAATTGGAGAAAAAAAGACAGAAAATGAGCCAGACATGAAGAGAGGGAAGACGCAGGAGTGGAAACAGGAAGAGTACAGAGGTAAGCAGTGAGCAATAGAGGACGTAGGGGGGAAAGTGAGTAGGAGAAGAGGCTGGATGCCTGTGTCACATTACATCCACAGGTTGGTCAGCATGAGGCTGAACAGGGCCAGCAGCAGCAGCCATGAGGAGGACATCACTGTAAGAAGAAGAGACATTTGGAATTGTAAGGAGGTTTTTGAATAAGAAAAAAAAAAAAAAAGAAAATCACCTTCATCGATCTGTCTGTAACTTTTGATGATTAAGAATGATTCATCCCATCTCTGCACTCTAGTATTTTCAAAATTATACCAGTAAGCCCAAGAGGCTGTTTCATTGTTCATCCATTTTTTTAATTACATGTCTGTATCTCAGACACCCCTGGCTGTATTTTGATGAAACAAAGAGATTAGAAAGAGATATTCACATTGAAACAAGTTGACATAATTGTAATTGATTGTGCTGTCCACACAGTCGGCTTAAACATTAGCCTGTGCTGTAACATAGGCCGGCTGAATATTAAACAGTGATGAGCTTCTTATCAGAGCTTGACATTTTTGGAAAAAAAACCTTAATTGCTTTCTCCTCAAGAGATTGATATCACTCTTATGTCTGAAGGGTGGAGCTGGAGCCAGGAGACAGGCAGGTTGGCTTAGCTCAGTGACTTGAAAAAGGGTGAAACAGCTAGCCTGGTTCAGTCCAAAGCAGGGTTGTATAGAGTTGTTATCTGGCAGACAGAACTATGTGTGTAAGCATTGGTGGTTCTGAGTCCTGCTCTGCTCCTGTGCTGTATGGGGTTCCACAGGGTTCAATTTTAGGGCCCCTGCTTTTCTCACTGTATTTAATGCCTCTGGGTTCCATCCTTAGAAAGCATGGTATTTCTTTCCATTGTTATGCTGACAATAGTCAGATATATGTGCCACTGAAGAAGAAAGATGCTTTCTCACTTAAACCACTTCTGTTATGTCTCGAAGACATTAAAGCCTGTATGGCCCTGAACTTTTTAAATTTTAATGAAAAGAAAACAGAAGTGATGGTGTTTGGTCCCAATGACTCTTGGGGGCTCAAGTCAACAGGGGGGTCCCCTGTTGACTTGAGCCCCTTGGCATATTATGTGAAGCCAACAGTTTCAAACTTGGGTTTTAAGAAGGACAGTGATTTTTAATTGGATCGGCAAATTGATGCAGTGGTTAAGTCCAGCTTTTTTCATCTTAGGCAGCTGGCAAAGGTTAAGTACTTTCTAGCACAACAGCACTTTGAAACAGTAATCCATGCCTTCATCACGTCTCAGCTGGATTACAGTAACACATTTTATTTTGGAGTCAGCCAGTCCTCCCTTGCACTTCTCCAGTTGGTTCAAAATGCTGCTGCTCATCTCTATAACTGGAGCACGTAAGAGGGAGCACATAACTCCCATTCTGGCTTCCCTCCACTGGCTGCCTGTGCACTTTAGAGTTCATTTTAAGATTCTTTTATTTGTTTTTAAATCTTTAAATGGTCTCGCCTCACCATACCTCTCTGGGCTGCTCCATCCCTACACTCCTGCTCGGTGCCTCAGGTCAGCAGCTGCTCCTGGAGGTACCTAGGTCCAAGTGGAAGCTCAGAGGGGATAGAGCTTTTTCTGTTGCAGCTCCCAAACTTTGGAACGACCTACCTTTGCACATCAGACAAGCCCCCTCACTGTCCATTTTTAAAACCCGTCTTAAAACCCATTTTTATTCCTTGGCTTTCAACTCAGCATGAGACTCTGCTGTTTTAGTGTTTTTATTGTTTTGCTTTATTTTATTTCATTTTATTGTTTTAGTGTTTTTATTGTTTTTAATTGTTTTATGTATTAAGTTTTTATGTTTATTTACAGCACTTTGTTTCGGCTGTTGTTTTTAAAGTGCTCTATAAATAAAGCTGAGTTGAGTTGAGTTGAGTTGAGTTGAGTTATCGAGACCACTTTTTTGAAGCCTTGCACTTGTCTCATGCCTTGTTTGACTCAGACTTGTCTTGGTCTCAGATTTGGCTACTAGTGAAGTTGTTCCTGCCAACTGATTGTGAATCATTTGTACAGAACATTGCTGCCACAGTCCGCTAACAGTAACATCCCTTACCGCAAGTCACCATCAAACTACCTTTGTGGAAAATCCTCAAGCACCCCTCTACTTGTCTCCCCCTTCCTGAAGGGGCAGAGCCTATATGTAGCAACAGCTCACAGGTGGCAGTACTTTTCCCCTGGAGCACAAAGGAGCATGTCCACCTGCCTCATCCTTTCTGAACTTGAGTACATGAAATCTCAAACCAGCTCAAACCTCCTTAAAGTAGTCCTTGAACCAGACTTTCCAAAATATTCTTCAACCTTCACTAACATTTAAAAGCAAAATGTCTGCAAATTCTACCGTAATTAAATCTGGTTTCTTAAACAGGACTCGATTTACTCTGGGCTTTGTCTTGGCTGCCTTTGGACATAGTCTTGACTCAGACTCGACTGGACCTGGTCTTGGACTTGACTTGGACTCAATTAAGTTGGTCTTGACTACAGCCCTGTTCCACAGTGTAAGAATTCACCTACTAACATCTTTTAAGCTCACTAATATACACATATCTTGAGTGTTTAATCTGTTCAGAGCAGGCTAACCGTTGTGTACCTGTGTTTATAGTCTTTATATTAAGCTAAGCTAAACTCACCAGATGCTGGCTGTAGTTTCATATTTAGTGTACAGATATAAGGGTGGTATCAATCTTATCATCTAATATTTGGCAAGAAATTTACATTTATTTCCCAAAATATCCAAGTATTCCGTTATGTCGATCAAAGAAAATCCATCACTTGCTGTGCAGTTGGTGTATTCAGTGAAATTAGATATGTGTAAGAGGCTGTGGTTCATACTGCTATTGTCCTGGCAACAAAAATTCGGGCTGCTAATTCAGCTTTAGTTACTTTATATTTCAAACATTAAAAACATCGATCATTTTGACTGACATTGGATCGTAAGGAATGATTTATTTGTGTTTACCAGCAGTTGATGAGTTACACTCCATGTTGACCAGTGAGTCCATGTAGCCCTGGCCCAGCCACTCCTGGTAGGTCTTTCTGTCACCGACACCCACCAGGCGAACAGTGGAGTCTTTGAAGATGAGATCTGTGCCCTCATAGGCCTGTGAGTCAAACATCCTGAAACCAGTACCTGTGTCACTGCCGAAAAATTCCTACAGGGAACAGAGAGACACGGAATAAACACCGAAACTGACCAACATAATTAATTACCTAAATTCCAGTCAGCCACTCCTGTGAAATCAATTCCTGTGTGGATCAAGTGGAGCACTTTTGTTTTTGATGGTTAAACGTTAACACTGTGTTTACACAGTTTTTATTATATTTCTTTCATACACTTTTTAAATTGTACATATTTTTGTGGGAGTATAGAATGAACTAATGTAGAACACATTCAAGGAAGGAGATGTTCTGTTTTTTACAAGTAAACTCTAATATACTACTTTAGTTCCCTTGTGTTTAGCACTGATTTTATATCACTTATCTTATACTAACTTTACTTCCTCTTTGTTCTCAACTTTTCCCTGAAGAGGGAAGTTATGCTGAAAGATAAACCTGGAAAATGTGGTACTTGTGCACTTACACAACACAAATTTAAACACAACAGAGTTAAACCCACTATTTATTTTTTCTTGGTGCATTTATCTACCAAAATGTAAAAAAAAACAACAACAACAACAAAAGAACCCTTTTCACAACATCTGTGTTTATCTTTTGGATTTGATTGTCCAACAAAATAACTTGCTGTGATGCTCTTGGGCAGCAAAGTTCGAATTCTCAGATGTCAGAGCATCCGTAAATGTAGCACAGAAAAATCAGTGAGTCCTTTACTGTAAAGGATTACCCGTCTTAATTCAGTTTGAGGTCTTCGCATGTTGGTGGCTTATAGCGTCTGACTCATTCACACTCTTACTGTACCTGTGCGCGGTCCAGGAGTCCATAGACGGCATGGATGTTGGTGCTGGGCCGAACCATTACAGCGTGGGAGGGGACTCTGGCCAGGTGACAGTGTCTGTACTGTGAGACCTCGGCTTTAGTGTCCTGAGAACAGAGCAGCTGGAAGTCTGTAGACAGGAGATCTACTGCCCAAGATTCCCCAGAGTTACCTGAACACACAAAGTGAGGTGGTTAATTATGTCCCGTAAAACAATAAGACTCTTAGAAGGGGGACATTTTGTATAGTGGGGTTTCTTGTCTTACCATCAGTGTTTTGGAAGACAGTAGAATGCTTCACGAAAGCCACATCTCCCTCTCCCTTCGCCAGACACCTGAATGGACACATAGACACACGTGTGATATAAATTGTCAAGTTGTTGAAGATGGCAAAGCTGCTAAATTGGAAAGGCTATTCTGGCTCCCCTGTTTTCAAAAGTAAAAGTCACAATAAATTTTCTGTAGACAGCTGACAGCTAGAGCACTTCTACAACTTGAATCATCAGTGCCAAAGATGCTGCCCGAAAATATGTGGTTCTTTCATAAAAAGTTGAAGTCTGTGTAGCCACTAAAAACTTCAACTACACTCAACTCCCAAACTATGTTACACTGTAAGTAACATTGAGGACACCAAGAAGAGAAAATTCTAGAATGTGAATACAGAGTGGGAAAACCTTGTGTGTAACATGTAACCCTGATGACGTGCAGGGGTTTGGGATGTTACCTGAAGGCACCATCGTATCCATCATACAGGTCTTTTCCCTTCTCACATTTGTTCTGTCCTGAGCTGTCGCCCACACACAGACCACACAGGTTGCTGGGGAAACCGGGTTGGTTGGCACCCGGTACGCAGCTCTGCTTGAAGAACCCTCCGACCGCTGAGCATCATGGGAAACAGGAAAACAGAAGGAAAATTCAGTCTTTTGGACTCGATCTGTTTTATAACCTGCTCTACCAAAAAATACAAAAAAGGCTCATTCCATCGATTATACATGAAGTTGAGTTTCCTAGTTTAGTAGGCCTACTACTTGGCCTGTAACCACAGTCATATAATGTTCTCTGTGGCTTTTGAGGAGCTTTGTCAAGTCTCAACAAATCATGTAATCTTGGATTGGGCTACAAACTACTGATTTTTAACAGAAAGGATGTGAAACAAACTGAAGGTGTGGATCTGCAGGCATGTCATCAGATAGCTCCAGAACTTGTATGATTGCAGAGTTGGTCGTGAGGGTTGATTTACTTTGCTTTGACAACATAAAACTACAACAATTAAATCTGAGTTTAATTGCAATGGACTATGGTTGACATGAGGCATCGCGTCCCAGTTGTAATTACTACTTGGGTGTTGGCACGAGTGCAGTTTACACAGTATAAAACTCATAATTATGCTAACTCCATTATGCAAGACCTCCAACTTAATTGAAGTGCAATGCTAAATGGTGTTTAAGTGACACAAATCCACATATGCCTTAATTCCTAAGCTTGTGTGATTATTACTTAGCTGTTGACTGATTACATAATTCACAAAGCCAAACATGACTGTAAAAAGCCATGTTTACTATTGGAAATGAATGGATAGTGAATGCATGGTCAGCAACAATACACCACATTCCTTCCAGGCTTTAAGTCTTTTAATGTGTCAATGTCAGGTCTATTGTTTTGATAACAAAAACATATCACATATAAAATCCATCTGCTGTAAGAAAATAAAAGCTATGGCTGAAACATTAGTGAATTGACAGATAATCATTTGAGTCATCAAGTAGCAATGCTGAGCTTTGTGTGTAAATGTCAAGATATCTCTGTTTTATATAAATGTAAATGGCAATGGGCATATTTCATGCAGTCTTACATTTTATCGAGTTTCAGTATTTGTGCACTGGATCTCTCTGAGTTCTGACTACTCCAGCTCACACCTTTGCAACACACACACAAAAACACCCCACTGACCTTGGGGTATCTGACAATGCTGGGGTGTGATCAGGCCTCTCTCCATCAGCGTTGCTATGGGAACGTTCCAGCCAGCCGTGCGACCGTATCCGGTGTGACAGGAGCGACGGCCACGCAGGTTGTCAAGGTTACGAATGTCAACGCTACTCTTTTTCACCACTGCGACTGCATAGTACATGGAACCATCGCGGTCGTCTGCAGAGAAAGAACAAAAAACAACCACCTGTATCTGTCGCCTTTGAGACAAGAATTTGTGACACACTGTTTGTGTGAGTCTCTGTGTGTTTGTGTTTTTACCTGTGTAGCTCTCGGCAGTGGCAGGGACCAAGCCGTAGTCTTTGCCTGCTGTGTAGATGTAACCTCCGTCCAGAGTGATGGCATCAGCCTCGTTGTTCTACATGAAGGAGAGAGCAGAGATTGAGATGCAAGAATGACTAAAAATAAAAAAGCCATCAGTTGGTGTTAGAAATTTCCAACTCCAAGTCGTACACTTTGTGCTTCAAGTTCTAAAAAAGTCATTATGTCCCTTTTACTACATCTAAAGTTTTACCAGAGTATATACTGACAGAGAAATACATGTATAGAAATAAAAATGTCTGCAGCATGGCTGTATAGATGGCACTGTCTGTCGGTCAGTCCACCACGTTTCAGATTGAAATATCTGAACAATCTCTGTGCTGATTGTGATGGAACTTTGTACAGATATTCATTGTCCCCAGAGGATGAATCCTGCTGATGTTGATGATACCCTGACCTTTATTCCACCAACAGGTTGACATTTGTGGTTATGTTGTCTGTCTTCACTGGTAAATGCACCTTTCCCTCCTGCTCGCACAGCATGATCGAATTGCGAGTCTTTTTTTTAATTTGTCAAGTCAAGTCTAAAGTCGTCACATCCTTAAGTCAAGTCTGACTCTAGTCTAAGTCTTATGTCTCAGGTTCACACCTCTGGTTTAGAATCAGTGTCTTTATTTTGTAGTTCTTCTACCAAAGACTATTAAATGTCCTGTTGAGTACAATCTTAGTCACACATCTTTATCAACCAAATCTAAGTGATGATCAATATCACAAATGTTTATGTTACAAAATAAACATCTCAAATCAGTCTAAAAAAATCCAGTCTCCACTAGATTCTAGTGTTAAATGATTTAAGTTGAAGTGAATGAATACCACTGTAGCAATTCTTCACAAACTGGTGTCTGTTACCTTTATTTTCTTCATGCAGTCAGTCACGGTCTCTCCGTAGATACACTTAATAGATGGAGTCAGACCTTTACTTTGGAAGGCCACACTCATTTCAGCACACTTCTTCTGCTCACCGCTGGACAACACACACCACCGCAGCGAATCTGGCATATTTGGTGGGTGGGTAGTGAAGGAAGAAAGAAAGATTAATGGCTACGTAGGTAGACAGGTAGCCCAGTTAACCAGACAGGATTAAACTAATATTTATTTATCAATACATTTCACACAGAGGCTACCGGGAAAGCCATGAGTGCTATTTTTGTTTCACCTTCAGGTTTACAGTCCATGGCTCTCAGAGCATTGTAATAGAAACGACCCATCCACTTCTTGGGGTCATCTGACTCGGCCCCCTGGAACATGATGGATAAGTCCGAGAAGAGCACAGTTCCTCCTCCATAATCAGTAGATGAAAACATGCTGAAGCCCGACTTCTCCTGCAGACAGCAAGGTACAATCAGTTAATCTCACAAATAGAATCTCACAGTAATGTGGCATAGTGCATATGTGACTGCTTTACTTTGTCTTAAACACTTTTACACCAAAAACTGAATTATGAGCAGCGGTCCTGTTTGGACGTACCAGGCCCTCTGTCAGCATGTTGAACACCACAGAGGGAGTGACGTGATTGCCGACCACAATCCCACGGAACGGGATGCGGACCAGATGGCACCTTTCCCAATCAGAGACAGGAGCTCTGGTGCCATCACGACACAACAGCTCATAGTCTGATGACACCAGTGTTTGTGCCCAGGCTGGGCCACGACCTGGTGAAAAAATGACCGGTTAGCTAAAAGTTGACAAGCTCACAACAAAGAAGTTGCATGTGTCACTAGTTACTGAAACAACCAACTAATGACTGACTATCCAGCTAACTAAAGCATTACCATCAGTGTTTTCCTGGACAGTTGTGTGTTTGATGAAGGCCACCTCTCCTGCACCTTCAGCCATACACCTGCAGACACCAAACAAAAGGGAGAAAAAGGTTATAATCAAAGGTGCACGCTACCTGCAGAATTCCACCGCAGCTGCTTTGAAAGCGTTCCTCAAATCCAACGTCAAATAAGTAAATAAAATAAAAAAGAATCATATTTCAAATCTGTACTAATACTGTTAATATCAAAGGGAGGCCTCTAGATATATTGTGGAGTAAAAACAAAAAGACATCCACTCCACATGTACAGTTCTGCGTATTGTAAGCAGAGTATGAATGTGTATTACCTGAAAGCTCCTTCATAGCTGTAGTATCTCTCTTTGTCACTCATCTCACATTTGTGCTGTCCAGCACTGTCTCCTACGCACAGCTGACACAGAGACGCAGGGTCACCGAGCTGGTTTGCTCCAGGGACACAGCTGGCAATGAAGAAATGTGCCACACCTGACAACACAAACACACAGGTCTCTTCAGCTTTCTGTATGTACAGTCTCTATAGGTATAGATATGTATGAATAGTGAATGTTTCCTACCCTGTGGGATGTTGCAGCCCATCACAGACATGTAGCCCTGGTCGATGAAATATCCTAAAGGCATTTTCCAGCCGGCTGTGCGGCCTTTCCCGGTGTGGCAGCTTTTTTTTCCTTTCAGGTTGTAGATGTTGATGCCAGAATTTGCTTTCCTCACCACAGCAACTGCATAGTAGGAGGCACCAGTACCTGAGGCAACAATAGCACAGGTGTTAACATACATAATGACAATAAGTTCTGTAAGGCAGCAATGTACTATTGGCTATGACATTCTGGCTCTGTGATCTAAGGTCTAGGAGGTCAAAGTGTAGACTACCACTCCTGTTTTAGGCCTATCCCACACCCAGGACAGAGATTATAATCAGGGTAACAGGTGTGATAACTGAATCAATTTACTCCAGGTTATCCATGATAAAGAACTAAACAGTTTGGGAAATATGTTTGCTCACTTTTTTGTCAAGAAGATACCTCTCTCATGTCTGTAAGATAAATTTGAGCGACAGGCAGCACATGGTTAGCTTAGTTTAGCTTAGCACAAGAAGGAAACAGCTAGCCTGGCTCCATCCAAGAAATAGTCCAGCATGTAACTTCTCATATTAAGACAAATTATTATTTCTATATTACATTTTTTATAAACAAATGGTAAGTAAAGTGTTAATTACTGATCTTTAAAGGTGCTTCTAGGTGAATTATTTAACCTTTAGACTGAACCATGCTAGCTGTTTACCTCTGTTTCCAGTCTTTATGCTAAGCTAAGCTAATGGCCAACTGGCTCACCATCACATTTAGTGTGAAGACATGAAAGTAGCATCAATATTTTTCTCTAATTCTGGGCAAGAAAGCAAACTTGCACTCTATAAAATGTCAAACTATTTCTTTAAACATTAAAACAGCAAGCTGAATAAGCTAACCTGTCTCTGAGGTGCAAATCTGACTGAGGAGCAACAGTTTAACTCTAACTCTAACTCACTTTTCACACCTGTCTTTCTCTCTGAATCACTACCTCCGTCTCTTTCCTTCCACGTCTTTCTGTTTGAATCTCTCTTACATGAAGAAAAAACACATCTTACGATCAGCTTTTGATTCAGCGGCAGCTATCTTGAAGGACGCGGTCTTCCCCAGATTGTAGATGTCAGATGCGAACATGGACAAGGCATCTGCTTCTTTTTTCTGCCGAGACGCACCAAACAAAAAGAGTAGTGTTCAAATATCAGGGAGTTAAAACTTAGACTCATGAGGGCAACAACTTAGAACAATGAGAGTCTCTGTGGCTTTGGGATGATTTTGAAATTGCAGTGCAAGAGAAAATGTTTTGGACTGGTGAAAATACTTAATAGTTTTTTGTACATATTTCCTTATACCATAGGCTAGATAGGAAAATGATCAGGGTTGGTTGGCTACATGGGGCGGTTGGCAACTTGGCACACAGCTATTTTTTGGTCCTTTGAAGGTCACAGGAACAAAAATGTATCATCAAAATGTTTGCTTTCATCACCTGCACTCATCTCCTTTGTTAAAACCCCTGAAAGCCACTGAGCCCCACTAAGCCCTACTTTTGGTGAGGATTACATTTATAATATTGAAAGTAAAAAAAGTGGTCTATCAATACTTGTTGACATTTTATCTACCTAGAAATTGTTTCGGATTACTTTCCATTTACATTTCCCTCTATATTGTCACAGATTTAACCATAATGTCAAGACGGAAGAAGGTGTGTGTGTATTCTTATTTTTTTAATTTAATGTAACTTAATTTTGTTTATTTATTTTTATTTTATTTTATTTTATTAAATTAAAATAAATTTATTTTTATATTATATTTATTTTTATTTAAAATTATTTTATTTAAAAAAGATTTATCTATTTACTTATTTTCTTTATCTTTATTTATTCATTTATTTTTTATTTTTTGTAGGACCTGCGGGGTGTGGGTGGGGGAGTTGTGTAAAAGAAAAAGGGGAAAAAAATGTTATCTATGTTCACTTAATTTCAGTGTACTGTACTTATAAGATGAATAAATAAATCTGTTAAAAAAAGTGGTCTATGGACTGAATGTATAATAAAACTCTGTTAGAGATATTATAAATGTGTAACTTATGGTTAATAGACAAATGAATCATCTACATTTTGATACAAGATTTAACAATGATGGTAGCTATTTTGTGAGTTTTAAGCAATGTTTATATTGTTAGTTAATTATTAGCATTTTGAATGGTCATTGGCAAAAGTAATTACACATTCCCACTGATGAGTTTCCTAAAAAGTTTGAAAATGGGCAGATATTCTATTAAATGTTGATGTTTTCTGGTTCTTTTTGAAGCAAATGGTCGAATTGTTTCTACTAATTTAGAAAACATTTGTGTACATTAAAACACATGTATTTATAGCTGAGGCCTTAATTTGCTGCTGGTCAGAATATTCTACGTAACTCATGCCAGAAAGGTTTAGCAGATAGTGAAAAGTGTGCCAACCATCCCCGGTCTCCCCTGTAATTTATCACTCTTGTGTTTCACCCATAGTTCAGCTTCTGATATATAGGACATCCTGATTTCTGGAAATCTTTGTGGGTGTCATAAACCCAGTGTGCTTTGTGCTGCCTGATAACTGTAACCTATCACCCATGAACAAGTTTACTGCAACCTTCCACGCAGGCCTTGTTCCTATCTTGTTATCTGATGCCTGATTGTGTGTTCTGCCATTCAAAATTTTATTAGCTCTTAACAAGTCATCTGATGTCCTGATTGATAAATGAATAGATGATGATATTAATAAGATGTTTTACAATACAGGAGACTGTATGCTTATAAAGTAACAACTGTAATCGCAAGTTATTTAAACATGCTGAGTTCATTCAAAAACCGACCTGTAGTTTCTGAACGCAGCCCTCAACCGTCAGTCCTTTGACGCAGTCTAGGGTCGGACGGATGGAGATGGCGGCGAAAGACTGCGACATGGCCTGACATTTCCTCTGCTCTGCGTCTGAGATGGTGCACCATCTGATGTTGCTCTGGCCAGACACTGAGAGAGAAAGAGACACACAGAGACCACTCATCATTCTTTTATTAAGCTATTCCACCAAATGATTCATAAAAACATCTTGTGATCTCAACTATCCAACAACTATGATTATATTATGCCTTTTTCACTGCATCTTTGCAGCAGTACAGGACAGTGCTTCCCAACTAGGACCCCTCAAGGGGCCACATTATCAATTTGATGAATAATAAGATGTGAGAAATGGGTTGAAATTGTGCTTTCTGATTTTACTCAAAATCACTTCTTGGTTGAAGTGCTTAAAGCTCATATGCAACCTGTGACAAGGTATGAGCAGATGTTGCTAGTCAAGCAATAAAGGTTATGAACCAGTGTCTGATGAATAGCAAACAATATATCTACTCTTTCTGTTTCAGATTAAGGATACTTTATATTGGAATTGTTGCCTCACTCTTGCCTTTAAAAGCATTTATCGTTGTGTGTATCTTCACCTCTGGCACAACCAGCAAAACATCAAATCATCAAACTATGTTAAATTTAACCTCTAAGACAATTGGTTGTGCATGGCATCACAATATGGCACAGAATAAGACACAAAATCTTTAATTATTCAAACAATATATGTAACTATGACACTGTATGTAACTTTAAAGTGCATATAGTTTTAAAAGTAGTTTTTAGTGTATATAGTTTTACCAGTTTGTAGTATTAGCAGTAGAGCTCCCACTGTCCTCCACATGGCCATGGCCTCGTCCTCTCTTCCTCTCTCCGGTAGGTAAAACAACCTCTTTTACCTTCTCCTCTATTTTATATACGATGACTCCTGAGTCAAAGTTCAGCCTCTATCTTCAAGACCTAGCTTAAAGTCCACGAAGAAAGCTAAGAGGAAGCTGTATTTAGTGATTTACAACTCTACATCAACATGTCATTTAGGAGTCACAAGACTATCAGTTCGAGTAGTGTGGAGTTTATGAAGTGCGCCTCTCTGGTATACCCGGCCTGACACGTCTCTGCTGCTGCTGCTGCTTGGCTGCAGGCCAAAGTCTGCACAGAGAGGTCTTTTTACAGTAAACCCCTCCTTTGCTTTTTCTGCATGGTGCTTTTCCACTGTTGGGAAAAAGGAAAGAAGGGATTGGTCACTGACTCACTACTCTGGTCACTGAGAGGAACAACATGGAGACAAAGAGTCTGTTTACCTGCCTTGGTTGCTAACTTTGACCTTGTCTCTGAGTTTTAGAAGTTTGTCCCGTGCAGAATATGTAGAGAAAGTCAGTTATTCCAAGTTGCAGACACTGTGAACTGAGGCTTTGACCATGATGTGGGTTCTCTGGTGGCTCAGGGGGCTAATGATGCACATGTGCTCCACTGCTGATGTTCTGGGTCTGATCTGGGCTGGGGCCTGGTATGTCATCCTTACCCAAAATTATAAACAAAATCATCATTATTACCAGGGGTGGAACACAATGACATAAATTTTCTCATGTAGTATTGAAATACAAATTTGAGGTACTTGTACTTCATTCAAGTATTTCCATTTTAATGCTTTTTTAACTCCACTACATTTATTTGATGGCTAATCACTTTAAAGATCTTACATAATAACATATTACGGGCGGCACAGTGGTAGAGTGGTTAGCACTGTCGCCTCACAGCAAGAGGGTTCCTGGTTCAATCCCAGGAGGGAGCCCTTCTGTGTGGAGTGTTCTCTCTGTGGGTTTTCTCCAGGTACTCCAGCTTCCTCCCACAGTCCAAAGACATGCAGGTTGGGAACAGGTTAATTGGTGACTCTGTGACTCGGTGACTTGTCTGTAGGTGTGAATGTGAGTGTGAATGGTTGTCTGTCAAGGGTGCCTCTTTGCCAAATGTCAGCTGGGATAGACTCCAGCCCCCCGTGACCCTCAAGAGGATAAGCGGTTACGAAAATGGATGGATGGAGTACATAAAATTGTTAGCTTCAAAAATCAAAATAAAAATGCTGCTTACACATTAATGCATCAACAATAATAATCTAAAAATATTAGTTATAAGATATGATAGTTTAACCTGAACCATTTTTCCACATTGAGTACTTTTTATTGGTCCACGAGGCTGACACCGTCTCCACATTTAAGAGTCAGCCTATGACTTTCCTCTTTGATAAAGCCTATAGTTAGGGCTGGCTCAGGCCCGCCTTGGACCAGCCCCTAGTTAGGTTGATATCGGCCTAGAGTGCCGGGGGACTTCCTATGATACACAGAGCTCCTCTGTCCTCTCTCTCCATCTGCAAACATTAATGTCTCATTAATGCATGTTACTAACTTGGCTTCTTCCCCCCTTGGCTTTTGTGCTTTCCCATGTTGCAGGTTTGCATGGATTGGGGTTGCGCCTAGATTGCAAGTCACAGGTGAGCTACTGCCTTGGTCTTGCCTGATGCCTATTATTATTAGTCATTGTTCTACAATTATTATTCACATATGAATAGGCTATTATTGTCATATATATATATATCATATATATATACTATCATGTACTACTACTCTAAGTATTCATATTTCTATTATTAGGGGGGCAGGAGGTGTTCTTATTGAGGATCCAAGGAGGGACAGAGGGTGTAAAGCCCTCTTAGGCAAAGTGTGATTGGACTTTACAAAGACAATTGAAAATCTGACTCGTTACTTACTTGTTGTTTACTTTTACTTGTCACGAGTAAAACAATAGGACAAAAGTAGGACAATAATCACTGGAACTTTGTGCTCCTCTTGTACAGATTATTAATATATTGTTTTTCCCCTATCCTTACTGATGACTTGATATGTTTCCAAAAACACTTGATCTGTGACCACCATAACATGTTGAAAAAAATAATTCTCAAACACTACCTAATGATACACTGTCCAAGATGTATTTTTAAAAAAATGGCCGTCATATTCATATGTGATGTATGCAATTCGAAGCAAGACGCAATTTTTTTTAAAAAGTCTGTAAAAATTTTCAAAAACCATACAAAATCTCTAGTAGGGCAACATCAGTGTCAACTGGCTTATACTATGAAAATTATTGTTTTAATAGGTTTTAGATTAGTCCTCTTAAAATTAAAACAATTAATAGGTGGAAAATTACTATGTCAAACATGAAATTTAGATTCGTGTGCTGATGTTTCAACTACAAATTGGGTCAGAAATGATGGCACTAAGTACCAGATTGATCTATTTATATGCACTGGAACATCCAACAACTTACCTGTGTTCAAGGGGATCTGCAATATCATAACACATGAACAGCATGCTTTCACAATAGGTTGTGCTGTTGACACACTGTACTTTGATGAACATTTTCATGCATAGTGTATAGAGGAGAAAAACAAGCAATGAGAGTAAGAGCATACATTGTTTCATATTACTATATATTTTAACATGTTTGTGGTGCAGATGTTTTAAAATAAATGTGGTTGAACCAAACAAGACCTCTTTATTTTAGCAAGCGTCATTTTTTAGTTAATTTAGAAAAGCTATTTTTACACCTTACAGTGTTAATATGGAGGTTATACTTATATCGTAAACAAACAATTTCTCAACACTAAATACAAGTATTGAGAAAAACTAACACTGGGTAGTGTTAAGAAGTGTTACATTTTAACTCCAAAAAGAGTTAATAATTACACTTGGTTAGTGTTAAGGTACCAACTCTCCAAAACGATTAACTCTTTGTGGTGTGGATCCATATAGACACTTCAAAAGTGTTGAAATCAAAGTTAATATGCTGACTTTGCTGTGTAATGGAGTAACTTTACATTGTGGTATTGCTACTTTCATTAAAGGATCTGAATACTTCTTCCACCGCTGCTTCTTTCCTAATTAAAAAGGTCTCATGTGCAAGGCTAACTGACTCTCTATAAATGTCATTAAATCTTAATTACTTTGAGGCCAAAGAGTTTGCGGGAGTGTCATAGATCAAAATTAAATCTCTGACTCTCCTCAGTAAAGATGGGAATGTATTTGTAGCAAGTAGCTGCTTCAAATTAAATTAGTTCCAGGAGAGTTATAGTACAAAGAAAACAGGGTGAGTGTTACTAGAGACACAACAGCTTTATGGCATTTGGGACCTGAGCTCCCTTTTCCCTCGTTTGATAAGACAATGCAGTTGAAGTGTTTTGGCTACCTCAGTCACAGCTTCAACAGGTTCTGTCCCTTTCTGCAAACTATGAAGCTGGCAAATAAAAGCCAAAGCCAGCTTGGAGGACATTATGTTATCATAATAAAATTTTTCTGCCAACATCTGGTCAAACACAGGAAGGCAGCCTAATCATAAAAATCTGTAATTGTTCTGATTGTTCCGCTGTGGTCATGCTCTGGTCGCAGGCCAACAAACAACATCACTAAAACATAGCTGATAGGAATAGCAATGCTTAAAAAATGATGTATAATGAATAAAGGCAGCAATATCAGCTAATATCTCTAAAGTAAGGCATAAAGTGGACACATCCAGTGGTTACAGGTTGGAACAGTATTGCAGTTATTGTTAGGTTACTGTAAATTTGACTGCAGAAACTGACACTACAGTTATTTGGGGAGTCCGATTATGTGTATGTCACCGCTACGTTCATAAGACACAACGTGACAAAGTGAGGATGACACGAGGGTGACAGGCTGAGTCATGTGTTAATACGCTGCTATTTTTCCTTTCCAATCTTCAGCACCTAACGTCAGCTGACCTGAGAATCTGCTGTCAAGAATTTCTCTCTTAAATAGAACATTTATGAGCTGTTTCACACTACATAATTGACATGCAAAGAATCCTTTTTTTAAACACAGCAGATCTCGCTGTCTCTCATGTGTTTCACAATAAAACTGAGGTCTTCTTATATTCATGTACAGCCGGCTCTGCATGCATCCAAAGTACCTGTAAACACAGTTTTATAATTCTTGATGACTTATACCTCCGTTCACTTTGTAGTTTACTGCAGGAAATTAAACCCTGATTACCAGATTATGGCTACTTGTACCAAAGGACCGGATGAACTCAAGGAGAGTGAAACTGTGAACTTTAGACCTCCTGGTTTTGAACGAGGAAAGCTTCAAGTGAGATCTGTAAAGATGATTATGAATAGATATATTGGAGAAAAGACCTTGATCATAATTTTCTTAAAACAACTAAAACATCTTGACATCCAGCAAATCACTTCAGCAGCATGTTCCTCTCAAAATGTTACCTTTCTATAATATTTGCCTTTTATTTATGCCCCTTTCCTTATGCTTTATTATTGTTTTAATCTCTACAGTTGGGACAACTTCTATGCTTATTTATTTATTTTTTTTACAGACCTGTAAATTCCTAATAATTTCTAATAATAATTTTCTTTCCTGGAAAGACCTATGTAATTTAGTACTTATTAGATGAAAAATAAAGATACACTTTGGATCATGTGCCAGGGAAACCAAGAGAGTGTAAACTTCTCAGCAGGTCAAGCTGAACATGCAAAAATATTATATTTGTTTACACATGAATCAACATATAATACATATAATAAGTTTTCTATCATAAATGAATAAATATTTAGTTGGGTTTAAATGGGGCTTTTCTTACAGTACATATTTTCTTCATAAGTAATACCAAATAAGTTCTTTCCAGGAAACCCATTACATGATTTGACTGCATTGATATTTTTTGATCATGAAAAACTCTTGTTATTATTATGTCATAGAATCAACAAAGGATTACTTGTAATATTTTAAATTTCTTTACCATTTTAAAGTTAAATACAAGTGAAACTTTTTGTTTCTCCACTAGCATGAACTTAGTAAGACTGAGTACAGCACAAGATGTCGAACATGATGTCATCTCTTTTTTACGCAACTGCTATCAGGTGTGACCACTTTCCCAGAAACTGACCAACAAACTGTTGCAGCATAGTGACTGATTAAGTTGAGCAACTGTGAGTGAGAGTGTGTTATGTATGAGAGAGAGAATCTGTGAAAAAGGGCAAAGAATTGAGAAGAGAGAGACAGTTGAATATATGAATACATAAAAGATCTGTGTGTTAAATCTGGCACTTATGAATAACACTCTATTTCGTGGATGAGGATCTTTTGAAAGTCACTTTAAATAGTAAATTGACAGATCCTTCTGAGAATTAAAACCAAAACCACTACAGTGGTCAGGAGCCATGTTTAGCCATGCTGCAGGTTTGGCTTCAGGAATGGAGACACTGCTTAGTTGGTCCAGCACTTTGTTCCAGAGAGAAATATCCACTAATGGATTGCTATGACATTCTTTACAGATATTCATGTTCCTCAGAGAATGAACCCTAATGACTTGATGATCTGACTTAACCTCCTGCACCACCATGAGGTCCTTATTTGTGGTTTTCAATGAAATGTGACAAACTTCATGGATGGATTCCCATACAATCTGGAACAGATATTCATCTTCCCCTTAAAGATAAATTGTAAAAACTTTGGTGGTCATCTGACTTTTCCTCCAGCGCCATCATCAGGTCAAAATTTGTCCAAACTTTTTTGACCAAACACCTGCAAAACTAATGACATTCACATCAGTCTCAGCTGTACTTTGTGTTTAATGCTAATAGATTGTGTGCAAATACCTGACTATTATGGCGATGAAAATTCAGATGGAGGGCAGGAAGTGATAAATCCATGTGTGTGTACTGGATACAGAGCAAAGTAACAACATAAAATGGCTGGATGAGCCTGCAGGCAGAAGGTATCTTCAGATCACTGAAACTCATGTTGGATGTGAGCTGCACAAAATGAAAAATAATAATAATAATTTTCCCACAACTTGGGTGATATACCAGGTGTGGAAAGGATTGTTGTTAGTTCAAATAAACACAAGACATTTGTGCTCTAGAGATGCTTTACTGTTTATGTTTGATGTTAGTCTACTCTGCCCATCCAGACTGAAAATGGAGGCTTTTGATCCACATGTGCCGCTATTTTTCAGTGAGATTTTTCTTTATTTTAATCTTTTATTTCTCCCCTTTATGCCATACAATTTAAAGTTTAAGGTGGCCTTTGTTTTTTCCCAATATGGTCAACTGGAACAGCCGTAAACAATCATGAGCATTTGTGCAGTGTTGGCTGTCTCTTCCTTCAGGGTGCCTGCCCTCCATCTGGACAATGCACCAATGTATGATGTCATATGCAAGAAGCTATTAGCAGAGAGTGAAAAGGTACTAGCTGAGAGTGTTAGCATGCTGTACTCATGGAAAAAATGTTGTCTGCTATCTAGCTAAGGATTGTCAAAAAATGAATTGCATAGCAGAGAAAAAAAATAAAGTGACATTTTTAAAATCATTAAAGAGTCAGCAGATGCTTCACCTTCCCAACCAAGAAGCTGAAGGCATCAATAGACCACTACAAACCTGCAGTAGAGGTGAAATAAAGGAAAATATATTCATATTTGCAGGTATTATATCATATTCACATTCATACACATTCCACAATGCAAAAAGAATAATCATCTGTGGTTATCGGTCGAGGGATTTCAGTAAATCTCAATAAAGACTTTTATTTTTTTTTGTACCAAAATAGGCAGTTAGAGCAGGGATAAATATTATAATATGTTAGATATACTGTAGATCCATCTCTGTAATAGATTCTTTGCATCGGTGCTTTACTCTAACAGACAGTGGCATGGTCCCCTGGCTAAAACACACAGCCAGAGTCACACAGAGAGGCCGGTTCTGTCAACTGACAACAACACTGGTTTACAGGATTCATAGAGGATTATAGATGGAAAGAAATAATTTAGCTGGACATTCTGTGAGGAAATATTAAAGCTTTCAAAACACGTATGGTCAAAACTATTTATTATTTGGATCTAAGAGCTACTCTGTTGACAGAACGGTCTTTCTGTGTGTCTCTGGTCTCCAGTCAGCTTGGAGGATTCGCCTCGGGGGTTGAGGATGGAGATGGGAAGTGGGTGGCTGACAAGGTCCATACAGGGGCTGTGTTACCAAAAGCATCTCGATATTTCAAATGTCACACTCGACACCAGAGGTCATGTTTCAGGTAAGCCCCATTTGTGACTTCACTCTCTTCTAGCTCTGTTCTTGGTCTCCACCAACACCTGAACAAAACATCTGGCTCTTTAGCTGCTAAATGCTCCACTATATTTACCAGTTAGTCGCTCACTATGTCTGAGCAGGCTGAGCAGGCAGCGTACAGTGGGATTTTATAAATTTTAAACTGAAAACAGCTGCCTGCTGCATCCAAAACCAACACTGTTAGTGCTGAGAGTAAACCAGCTAAGCAATGAACTGAAAACTTGGTATGAAGCTCTGTAAAGCCGAGGTTAGCTGTAGATTTGGCTGATAATTCTCTGTTCACATTGTCACATTGTTTTCACATTGTCATTTCATACATTGTTATAAAAATATTGAATATAGTTGCTTTAAGGGGAAAGCCAAATTGTTATTTTTTACCTGCTATCCAGCTGACAGTTGAGATTTCAATGGTATTTTTGTGATGCAACATATTTTAACTATCTGCCCATAAAGTTAAAATGTTTGCCCACAGCTAAACCAACATTTAAAGGTGCAGTGTGTAGGATTTAGGGGGATATAGTGGCAGAAAAAGAATATGAGTATGTTTTCTTTAGTGTATAATCACCTGAAAATACCTTTTAATTAGCTTGAACTAACTAATGAGCCATAAGGAGCAGGTACTTGTCCATGGAATCCACTCATGTTGCACCATCATGTTTCTACAGTAGCCCAGAATGGACAAACCAACACGAGCTCTAGATAGGTTCACATTGTTTGCGTCGGCCACCTTGTTCTCCTGCATGCGTGGGACACTGGTTACAGTTGGTTGCAATCTGCAACCTCAGCCTTTAGATGCCCGTAAATCCTACACACTCGATCTTTAAATGTTTTTTTTCCCCACAGACAATCAGCGCCATAGCACAGTGTGGCAAAATGTGAATAATGCTGCCCTTGTGCTCATGCATGGTTCAAACTAAACAGGGGCCCACTTGAAAAAACACATAGTAATATTCAGGCTACTAAAACAGTTAAGCACATGTAAATACAATATGATGGGATTTGATTTCTCTCTTTTATGTTCTGTTCAAGTAAAGCTTAAAATATTCTGTGACTTGTGTTCACCTCAGTCAACAGATGTGCAAATCAAGGGTCATGTGAATGACAGAGCAAGCACTGTAAAGTTGCTGTGTCGCCTATAAAGCCAGAAATGGTGCTTCCAAAATAAAGAAATAAAGAATAGTAAACTGGATCTCTCTGGGCAGACCGTAGACACCTGCATGATCATTTACAACACACCCACTGCTGGATAACAGGTAAAAATATAACGCTTTGATTGTCCACCATGTGCCTGTATCTATGGAGTGGCATCCGGAGCACTAAGGTCACAAATGGAGCAGATTCAGGTGTTATTCATGCACACTGGGACTAAAGGCTCAAACTTGTAAATCCAGCATGACAAAAAAAAACTGTAACAAAAAGAGCTAATGTTGTTGATTAGTTAGTCTTTACAATAGCATTTACCAGAGGAGTTCACCTGATGTCTTTACCTATGCAACAGTAGCATGACATACCGCATATGACCATAAAGAGTTCCCGGACCTCTCTGAAACCAGCATAATAATCACTGACAGCTTAAAGAAAAGTAAGTATATCACACATCCAAATACCCGAAACACTGGGATCCATTCTGTCACTCTAAGATGCTTTTAAGAAACCAGCCCTCATTAGTGCATCTACAGTAAGAAGGAAAGCTATAACGATGATGCTGATGATTATGATCGCGATGATAGTGTTGATGAAGAAGATGATACACTGTTTGATGCCGGAGTGCTCGACTAATGTCACAGTGTGAATGTGGAGAACGAGAGGAGGAGAGAGATGAAGGCATGAGACAGAGAGGACGAAGAGGAAGAAGAGGGGGAGAGGAGGCAGAGAAGCCCATGTTGGACAAAGACTTGCGTAATAGATTTTTTTTTTTTTAACAGAGGATCTGAGCCCGTATTTATCAAACAGCTTAAAATAAAATATTAGACTTAAAAACCTTCACTTTTTTCAGTTATGAAAACTATTATCAAATTTCCTTTGACATATGATACTCCCCAACTGGGGAATTTACATGTATTATCTGCATTGGATTTAAACATGTAATAGAATTCTACGCCATGTTTTCGTCTTTGTTTCTGTGTTTATTAGGATGCAAACAACAAAGATAAACCTGTCACTGATTTTGTTTGCAGTTACCTTCCATGCATCTTCATTATCTGTACTTGTCAACGTGGCACTAAATTACACTTGTTATCTCTGGTGTACCAACAGCAAGATGTCTTTCCTGCTGCTGTTTGGTTTTCCTTTTGTTTACATTTTAGCCAGTTATTTAATCCATATTTGTATATTCATACATTCTAAATGTATTGATTTAGGGATGGGATTTGATACGATTCTATTAATAGCAACACCATTATCAATTCTGCTGATTTTTTATTGATTACAACAGACGTGTTTCTTGGTTGGGAACCAGTGGCACTTGTGTGTAGAGTCTCAAATACATTGCATTTCTAGAATTTAATCCCATGTTATGTAGACAGATGTTTCAGCATGCTGCAGGTGTTTCCACCCTTTATTTCCTTGAAATAATAATAATAATAATAATAATAATAATACAGAAATTACAGCAGCACTGTTGTCGTCTGTCTTCGTGAAATCAAGCCACATTTTGGACTGTTTCTCCCTCTCCGCCATGACTCCTCTTTGTTGCATGTTTCCAGCAACGCAGAAACAAGTTTGATGAAAAACATGTCAGCACTGAATTAATAAGCTCAAAGGCTTACGATTCTGATAGATCAGACAAGTTGGAACTGGTCCTTAATTTGAACCAGTTCTTCATTCCCATCCCTTAATTAATTGCTGTTCATTTCACCTGGATATATTGAGGATTTCACACAAATAAAAATAACTTTTTAATAATTAAAATGACAAGTCTCTGCAGAATAACATACCAATGACTGAAATGCAAGTATTTTTAAAAACAATGAATAGGGAAGCTGTTCAGCAAATCCTTATCTCTGATTGGCTGTTAAGACTTTGAGCATATGTCTATTTAATCATATGATCACTTGATAGCTGCTCTTTTCTTTGCTGTAAATAAGAGTGAGACGCTTGATAATGATGTCTTAAACTTTACCTTTTGCAAAGAACCTAACATTATTTTCAGAAATTTGAGAATTACAGGCTCAGGGCTCCAAATGGACTCAAAAAACTTTATGAGGCTTTGTACTTTATTTATTTTAAAGCTATCTAATTTAGATTTCTACTTGAGTTCTGATTGAGAATTTCTGCTTGTTACAATAATATCAACAAGAGTCTCAATCATAGAATTCCCGTCTTACATATGACTATTTTGGTGCTACGTCTCTCAACAATAATTGTTTATTAAACTATTATTTTGGCCCTTGATACCAAAATGCTGGGGCACGTTAAGTTTTCACCTCATACCTATAGTCTGTAGTCTAAATGGGAAAGGAGGAGGAAAGGATGAGATATGAGAGAAAGATAGAAAAAGACTAAACGGGAGCAATGCCGTGAGGAAAGACAGACAGACAGACAGACTGGGAGGGAGATCAAGATTTTGTCCCAAAAACATGCTCTTAAAGCTACAGCGTGCAAAAGTCTGCCTCTTGGTGACAATATTATCATTACAAACCCATACATGAATGCATTACCCTTCGTTAATATGAAAACAACAACGACAACAACAATAAGAAGAACAATAATGAAATCAAATCAGATAATGGTACGTGTCGCCTTGATTTGAACCACCTCCTTAAACATTAAGGAACTGAGCTGTAGGAAGATCCACCAATAGGCTGCTGGACAGACATTAGCCCCTCCCACTTCAGGAAGTCGCAGTCCCAGATAGTCCCAGCCTCGTCCGACTTTATGTGCTTGTGTAAATGTGTGTGTGTGCGTGTGTGACTGTGTGTGTGTGTGTGTGTGTGTGGTAATGTGTGTACAAGAGAAAGAGGAAGCAGGCTGATAATAGAAAATTAGAGATGTAGGAAGTGTTGAAGGAGTGATGTGTGTGATCATATAGTATGTTTATTCAGAGTCGCTCCTTGGTGGGCACCCAGATGTAAGGACCAGACTGCTCCTCAATGATCTGCTTCACCTGCGAGTACACTTCCTCTAGAGATGAGCCTTGGACGATAGCTGCAGACAGAGAGGGAGCAAAAAATTAATATCCTAACACAACATTTACTAAAAAGTATCACCACTGCCCCACCGTGTGTGCAATTAAAATCTCCATTAAAGAAGAAGTAACCTTTAAAGGTCAACTCCTGTATATTAGAGTGTGTGTTTGTTCTTTACACACAGGCTTCCTATATGGGAAAAAAGTGATGATCCAAAACAAATGGACCCCAGTGATTTAAACCAATAGAAACACTGAATAAAACAGTTTCATGTTACAGATCAGTGTTTTTCTGACACTGTTTGACTTGTTGTGGAGGAGCTGCGAACTACGGTGGCCAAAACAAAAACGCGAATGGCTCTATCTAGAGCCAGTGTTTGGTCTGTCAGTTCTAGGCTACTGCATAAACACGGTTGTGCAACATGGTGATCTCTGTGGAAGTTGACTTGCTCCCTATGTAGATATAAACAGCTCATTCTAGGGTAACAAAAACAAGGATTCTTATTTTCAGCTGATTATAAACTGAAGAAAACACTTATTATATTATATTCCACTTCTGCCAATATATCCCCCTAAATCCTACACACTGGACCTTTAAAGATGATGCTATGTATCAACGTTTTCACTTTTAATCAGTGACATTGGATTATTGATCATTGCATAAATATATTGATTCAGATCGATATTGTTACACCCCTTATGATTAATATGTTTTATTTTTCTGTTCAAAGTTTGGAAGAAGCTCCCTGCTGCAACTGTTTCTTAAGAAACAACAGTAGCTCCACCCGCCCACGACTTCAATGCAGCATCTCTGCTGGTTGTCTCACTGTGACAACAAGGCTCCAGGAAGTCACTGTGCCTAGCCGTTGTTTGCCAAGAGTCACAGCACATAACTCCACATAAAACTGCAAATTGTTTAAATTTTTGCTTTTCTATGGATTAAACACACAAGATAGCCTAATGGTTAAGGCGTATATTACATAACTGTAACATCACAGTTTGATTACAGCTGGGGGACCTTTGTTGCCAAACTCTGTCTCTCCTGTTTCACATCTCTCTCAACACCTCGACTGTCAGATAAAGGCTAAAAATACCCTCCAAACATATGTGTTTGTGTGCTGGTAACTAACCGGTAAAGAACTCTGTGAACTCCTGCTCCAGTTTGACAGCTCTGTCGAAGGTCTTCCTCGCCTGCTCCTCAGTGAAACGCTTGTTCATCTCTCTGGAGAGACCAACAAAAGTTTCAAATATCAAGATACTTTACAAAAATTTAAAACATCTTTTACATGAAATGAAACCCTCAGCAGCCTCTTTGACCTCACTGTTAAATTCAGTGGTGATCAAATGACATGATGATAAGAAGCTTATATTACACTGTAACTGCACCAACACACTGTGGTGAATAAATGAGTTTATTCTCATTTATTCACCACAGTGTATGAACTAGTGATCTTAATGTATATTATTCATCTTCAAAACAGATTTGCATTATACTCATAGAACATTGTTAATGCTACTGCCAATAATGCTTACAGGATGATGCTTAAAGTGCATGATAATATATCATTTAAAGGATATTTCAATATCACATACAGAATTTTGAGCTTGAAACAGCAGTTTCATGTTACAAAAACAATCTCACCACAAGGTCCATTTAGTAGCTTGTTATGGAGCTTTCAACCATAAGACATTGTCCCGATCAGCAGATAGGAGCCTGTTCAGTTGTAATGAAACTAGAGGTGTTCATTCCCTGAGCCCTTTTAGGATCTGTCATCCATGTTGTGCTGCAAAGTTAAGCTCAAGAGCCAAGCGACTGACGAGGACCATGTGATATGGCCAAAAGCTTCAAAACAGGCTAGTAAATGAACTATGTGGTCAGACTGTTTTTGACAAGAAAGAACATTAATGCTCAACATTTAGGCCAACATGACGGAGTGCTCTTAAAAGTGCTCAGAGGACCGGAGTATTTGAACATCTCCAGTTCCATGTTAACTGAATTAGGCTCATAGGAAGATGCAATATGGTCAAAAGCTTAAAAATAAGCAACACAGCCAACATTTTGGTGAGGTAATATTTACATTACTTACAGGATGTTATCAACGTTGCGTGGTCTAATGAAGATAGCGATGGGATGGAGGCCTGCCAACTGGAGACGCTTTATCGCATTCCCTGATACATCCAGTATACAGTGTTTACCCTGCAAGAGAGACATAAGAGTTGTTTCTGTGTCCTGTGTCCTTTGTACCTTATCTCCTCTCTTCTATCGCTCTTTTTTTTTTTAACTCACCTTGTCAGCGACTTCTTTGACAGACTGTATGCTGGTTCCATACAGGTGGTTGTTGTACTGTCCAGCCTCTATGAACTTATGTTCCTGAATCTCTCGCTCCATGAGTTCTCTGGAGGACATGAAGTGGTAATCTCTGCCGTCTACCTCGTAGTCTCGCCGCGGCCGCGTTGTGTCTGAGGGTCATAGATTTTACACAGATTAAGGTATTATTTAATAATAAATAATTGCACATGATCAGGTCCCTTTTGTTAGTTTGTTTTATAACATTTTGCATTTGCTGTTATGTATGTGTCAAGCTGTATGGATTTGCAAAAGATCCATTTATTGATAAGGGTCAAAAATTAGGTTAGGCTTTAAATGTTGAGGTATTTGAACCAAACATACAACTTTATAGCCACATCAGGTACATGTTTTATTACATATTTACACCTTAGATTTTTTTTGCAGATTGGATGAAAGAACATTTGAGGTCAAACCAGTTTTGAGGATTCAAACTATTTGATATTTAACCAGCCCATTTTCATTCACCCCTTGCATCCTAGTTGTTCTGTTGGTTTCCTGCTTTGCGTTTTTAAGTTCAAGCATCTATTATCTGTATGTTTACCTGTACCTACCTGTGTGCCTGTTACTTGCTTGTCTAACTTATATGCTTGTAAGTTAATTCACCAATAAAATCAACCAAGTCATTCAGCTGCCTCCTCTGTCTGTGTTTGGGTCCTATACTTGTTGCCCTGCATAACCAACTGTAACATTTACTTTTAGTTAACTTTCTCTAGTGAATACATAAAATTGTAGCGAAAAGTATATTACAAAAAAATGTACACTTTATTTTATGGCAGCTTTCATTACAGGATCATTAACATGATTTTACAATTTTCATAATGTGTTTTTGCCTTGTGTACAAAGTTCCATTATCTAATTATTATTTAAGAGGACCCTGGTGAGATTTCTCACAAAATTAAAACACTCACGTGGGACACAGGAGCCAAACTTGTCAGGGAACTCTGAGATGAGGTCATCATTGACCCGATCTTTCATTGGTCCAAGCACAATGACTGGCCGCGTGTAATTAACTGGGATATGACAAACAGAACCAGGTTGATACAAACACACAAGACACACTAAGTAATTTCAATTATGCATTGCCTAAACTTGAAAATAATACAAATTACAAAACTTATATTAAACTAATAATTTGTGTTTATGCCGATGAATACCTCCAATAACCAAATTTCACAAGACAAAATGACATAAAAAAGAAAATGAATGAACCTTGAGGAAACTAGAATTAAAAGATGACATGACGTTAAGCACTGACCTTCCTGCTGCATGACAGGTTGGTAGGTGAGGAGGGTCTCCTCTTGGCCAGCTGATGACACAAAGAGAAATGATGGACACGTTTAGAGACACAGCGGGTGGGATTACTGACAACAAAACACAACCAACCCTTTTCTACTTTTGGGCTTAACTTCTTCAACAGCTCTGGAAAAGCAGGCTGGAGAAGCAGAGAAAGGTAACTTGTACACTCACTCACACACACACACACACACACACACACACACACACACTCACA